AATTAAAAAAATATTTAATGTCTGACTCCAAGACATTGAAAATTCGAATTCTTTTTCTTTTATCAGATTATCATATTTACTAATATTAACAAATTTGTACTTTTCTTGGAAATTGTTTTTCACTAAAATTAATGTCCCTCCGTCAATAGCTTCAGTACGACAAAACAAAGACACTAAGGTATAATTTTGAATATGTATACATTCCTCAGACTTTAACCAATGTTCCGTCATCATAATAATTTCGGGGTCATCCAAAGTACTCAAAAACAACTCTAATTCCTCCACCTTGTTTCTAATTGATCGAACATTATAAAGTATCAGAGTGAACTTTGTTCCACCTGTGTTGCTTCTAAAAAAGAAGAATTAGAATTGTTTTCCAGACTTGTATCAATATTATTTCTATTACCCGTATTACTAGAGTTTCCATCAACAAGCACTGGCGTATTACCAGAGTTTTCATTTACAATCACTTGCGTGTTACTAGAATTTTCATCAACAATCACCTGTGTGTTAGGGTAACAAGGAGGTAAAGTGTCATTTGTTAAAATGAATATAAGATTCTTACTAGTATTTGTATAATTAGCTATTCCATTAACAATTTTAGAAGCAATGTCGTTTTGTTTTGATTTAAAACCTCGGTTTGTGTTTATATTTAAAAATGACATTTTACCCTCTGTGTACAAATTAAGTTTGGTAACAAATTGTAACAAATGTTTGTTAAACTTATTGATAATAATACTTTTCTTGTTATTTCTTGCCAGTATTGGGCTAGATAAGAATAGCACATTTGTATGACTACACATTTTTAATTTGGTTACAATATTTTTAAATTTTGGTATATTGTTCATTTCAAAATCGTTATGTCCTGCTATTATGATAACTAAATCCTTTAAATTAAATTCTTTTACCTTTTCTTCCAAGTTTTCTATTACATTATTGAAATTTTCTCCTGGCTTGATAAATGATTCTATTCTGTATTCTTCCAAGTTTAATAGTTTTCTGATTAAATTATTTAAGTTAAGACCCATTTCATCTCCTAAATACACAATAGTAATTTAACTAGCGAATTTAGCAAGCTTATGCTCGCTCAGGGCGCGTACTAGGCGACTAGTCTAGAAATTATAGATAATTATAGAAAAATTAAAACGGTTTTTGTCCTTGGAACTTACTGGAATAATCAGTATGGCCCTAAGGCTGGAAAGTTTGGAGATCCCTCTTCTAGAAAAACTAATTTCGTGCCACCTGTTAAATAAAATTAGGTTATATCACCTGTCATGCGTGGCCCTACTCGTTGTTGTCCCTGTTGTCCCCATACAGGAGTCATGTGACTATTATTGTGATCTAGTGCAAACATTGTGACTCTGGTTTTGCCCCAGCGCAAAATAGCTACGCGTACAAGTACCGTTAATTTTAACTTGACTTAATTAAATCTGGACAGGGATTCTTATGTGCGAACTCAACACGTTACATGTTAAATAGAGAGAGACATTACCTAAGAATCACATTCTGTCGAACGAAGATAGAAGCTTCTAAACACGTGCCGAATTCAAAGATGAGAATCCCACTGCAGATCTGTGAACCAAAAGTATTCTTGTGACCCCCTTTAATTATTATTGTGAATACCTTTTTTCTTAGCAAAGGTCATTAAGTCATAAATAATATAAACCTTTCACGTCCACCGGCATACATATTAGTAAATTAGGTTGTATTAAACAAACATATTTTATTTAGGTGTTTTATGGTTTCTTTACTCAGCCCTCTAGGCTGAAAATGGGGCATAATCTAGTTCTAATAAAACACTCCTTTTATAACCTTAGCCCTCCATCACCTTTAGTAGAGGTGCAGATTATACACTAATTTAGGATGAAATACTGCAACTTGTCATTTACTTTCACACCTGTACGCAAGACTTTGGTTAGGCTAATGGAACCACCCGGATCCGCAGTCAGTATCTATCCCAACCACACACACCTGTACGCAAGTAACATTCGATAATGTTTGATTTTTGCTTCGTGTTGAAATAGTTATTTATGCAACAAGTGTGTAAAGTTACCCTTTTTTGACGAATGTGAATGTTGTCGCACGAGCCGTAGGCGAGTGCGACAATCACATGAGTCAAAAAAGGGACTTTACACACGAGTGGCATACAATATTTTTTCTACTACCGTACACATAATCCACTAATATTAGAAATATAAAAGTTACTTTTTTTCACTAGTAAAAAAAAGTACTTTACTTTACGCACTAGTGAAAAAAAGTAAAATGTGCCAAAAATTGTACACAGCAACAAAAATAAATTTATTGGAACTTTACAAATTTATAATTCTTACAGAACAAAATAACTAACAAATGAAGAAATATTTAAAAAAAAATAGGTTTTTAACTCTTATGAATATTAATATTGAATGTGCAATTATTGCAATTACCAAAACTTAAGGTTTTGGCCTTTTCCAGCACAGAGTTTGAAAAATGTTGTGATATTACTTCTGTAACCCTATTTTGAGCTTCGAGTGGTATGGATTTGGCCTTTTCAAGTAAAGAGGTTGAAATATTTTGTGTAACTCTAGTTTCACTGTCGAGTGTTTCCACTAATTCTTCATTAGAGTTGTCAACGGTAAAATTGTAGCTTTGTTTGGAAGTGGATGGCATACTGTCATCCATCAAAATTTTATTAGAAATTTTGTTTTTTTGTGTTATTGTGCTGTCTACGTAGCCTTCTGCAACAGCAGATGATTTCCATCCTCCATGTTTTTTGACCGTTAGAAGGTCTTCTCAAGAATTTGCCAGCATAGTGGCTGAAGACCTCCTAAAGCAGTGTTCTGTAAAAGCCGTTGGATTGGGCAAGTTTAGATACGTTGCTATAATACTTGGCATTTTACCAAAAGTATTTATCTCTACAGGCTGTTTAGAATATATTCCATTTGCGAATTTTAAAAAAAATCTGCTACAATTTATATTTGATGGTCTTAATGAGGTATATTTTTTTATGAAAGATAAATAATCAACTGCAGAATTATTTGGATTTAAAATCGTAAAAATGCGTTCTATTCCATTTTTGGTTTCTGATACTTTGACAATATACACTGTTTGTTTATCTTCCACATCGTTATTTGTCATTTTACATAATTCATCCCGGCGACAAGCTCCCGCAATTCCAATTATAAAAGCTACCTAAAAAATAACATATTGTAATGTTACAAATAATTTATTAAACATTAGGAAATATCTTGACGTTGCGCATGTAAAACTCCAAATAAATGCTATTGTAAAAAATATAAAAGTTTTAAGTTAGGACAGCAACCGATTTTGTTAGGCAACACACCATACGAACACACATCTCGTTGCAAAACTTTACAGAATATTTTAATTTTATACTGAGCATTCAAGCATTTACTGAGGCATTTACTTACTTTGATCATTAAAAACTTGGAATCTAGAGCTTTCAACAGAAAATTAATTAGATCTTCTCGTTCAAAATTTTGGATTTTTTTGGTTTATAACCTTTATTTTTTTCTTTGAGAAACGTTATTAACTTGTTGAATTTCGAAATATCAACGTTGTTTTTGTATTTTAAAGTGCTTTTAAGCATAGAATAAATCGACCATAGGATAGAAGCTTTGCAATACTTCAATTCATCAGAGAAATATGCTAAAATAACGTTTTCCGAATATTTTGTCGCCTTATTCTTCCTACACCATTCTATAAATGCATTGTATTTTTGCTGATAAATATATGCAGATTTTTCTGGCAATAAATTTTCAGTGGCCTTTTGTGTACTGCATAAGATATCTGGGGGAGTATTATCAAATTCGCTATCGCTAGATAAATTTGAATCCATATCGATTATGACAGATATAATAAACTGCAAATAAAATTTGAATTTAAGTAAACAAACATTAAAAAGTAAAACTTTTTACCTTCTCAAACTTGATTGAGTTTAAAAAAAATGCTAAATTGGCTTTAGAATCTAATCTTGAACTTAAGTATACTTTTGTCGTGTTCTGTTATAAGGTAGGTACTAATTAAAAGTTTAGAGATTGACAGTTCTTCTAATCCACACAGTCACGGCCAACTTACTTTTACCAAAATCGACATCCACTGTATGTTTACTTTTAATTAAAACGATGACATTTGGAGAAAATTATAATTAAAATAAACTGTTGATAATTTGTTGGACACTAAATAGATATACCTAAGCAAAAATAATTTATTTATTTGTCTTAGAAGGAGATAGCAAAAAAATGTTAATATAAAATAAAACGTTATATTTTGTTGTTATGTACAAATTTTGTCAAATTTTACTTTTTTTAACTAGTGCGTAAAGAGTTTTACTTTACGCACTAGTGAAAAAAAGTACAACTTTACACACTTCGTGGAGTGCGTAAAGTACGTACTTTACGCACGGTAGTAGAAAAATAATTTTTTCAAATATCATTCTATAAAAGTGACTAACGTTCCATCCCAAAACATTTAAATTTCACAGCCAACTCCAATTATGATTTTTTTCGATAGAACAGAAGTAAAAGTTGGAAATGCTTTTGCCAGTTCTCCCACTTTATACACATAAATTGATAGGTTGGCAGCGGATCTCACCGAAGTGGACGCGATACATTGGCGTACAAAATTATTTTATAGATGTTAATAACAATTTCGAGTAAATAGTTTAAAAAATTGTGAATAGCTGTTGAAATTTTGTAAAATTATAATTTGAATATTATAATACATGTTTAATAATTATTTATAATCCATAAATACATGCGATTGTCCGGTTCCGCCGATAACAATTTAAAATTACTTATTCTATGAAACGACACTGGCAGGTAAACATTACTGTGAAATTCTCGGAGCCGCCCGACGTGGTTTGACGTTTACCCCCTCTCTACCTACCAAAAGACTTTTCAACTTTTACTTTCTCTATAGCTCTTCGTTATAGAAAGAAGGAAAGGTGAGCTCACGGACTATAATATCATTGATAATACAATGCAATAACAAATATTTAATCAAAATATCCAAAACTTTTGCTTACGATTGTACACACAGGTTGATATTATGAAGGTTGTTGTTTACCACTTCTTGAAGACCTTCTGAATTGATTGCCTCGTAGCGGTAAAATTATTAAAAATCGTACGTGGTAGACTTAAAAATAATGTCAATTCTTGTGTCAAAAATTAGTACAAAAGATCTTTTGATAACTGATCGTGAAAACATTAGAAAAAAATGGGGTAAGACTAAAGCGGACGTTGATGGAGACATTAAAATTATAAGAGATTGGTTAACAACACAGCCTCATCTGCCAGAGATACCAAGTAAGTAGCATAACGACTGCTTAAAAATTAAACGTATAAATAGTATATCATAATTCAAGAGATAAATGAACCATTCACAATCAAAAACAACCGTCGTTAAGTTTATGTCTTCTTGCAGCAAGAATCGCTTATGGGTTACATTCAACTTAAAAGACACATGTATTTCAAAATATTTTTTGTACTATTAGAATAGTAGATAAGTAGTAGAAAAGTTATATATCATGAAAATAAAAAAAAATTTGGAGATTATCCATGATTAAGCGAGAAATTTAATATTAAAATCTCAAAAATTGCACATTTTTAATCAAATATTTTGACTTATGTGTACAGGGTTGCCAAGTATTTTAATATGTATGAAGATAATATAATTAATTTGTAAATTCGTAAATAATTATACTTTTATGATTTGTTTATTTAAATAAAAATAATAGAATTTTTTGATAAAATACCAGAATTTGTATCAAACATCGCTCCCCGGCCCCTACCAGATCAAAGAATAATATCTGTTAATATCAGCTTATACAATTGTTTATAAAATTAAACAGCAATCCTTTGTAAGTTCTTATAACTTACTGACATTTCACATGACATTTTTGAGTAATTTCTAGAAATACAATGTTACAAAATCATTTTATTTGACTCATTCAACATAAAAGTTCACTCTAAATTCTCCGCTACCCGATCATACTGTTAATACCTAGACTACTTAGTTTTTGGAATATTGCGGGTCGAAATAGTAACAAGGAATAAATTAATCTTGGCAACTCCGCTCATTATCCAGAAAAGAAATGTCAAATATTAAAATTTTTAAGTTTTAGGTTAAATTTAATGAAAGACTCGTTTTCTTATTTTCAAAAAGTATTTAATTAAAATATATAATTGATTTATACTTTTTTTTCGTATTTCCAAACCTAAGGTGAGTTAAAATCATACTTAATATCATTTAAATCAAAAAAATAAAGTAAAACTGGTCAAACAATGTGTCTCTAAAGTCGAACATAACCCGCTTATGTATCTGAACAAATTTTGAAAAGAATGTATTTCAACTTTGTTAAAAGTTTTGTGCAAGCGAATAGTTTGAGTTGCGAATTAATTAATAGACAATTTTGTAGTATTTCTGGAGTTATGGTAAATAAAATCGAAAGTTTATATGTATAGAATTAAAAAACAGAAAATATTGAAAAAAGAAAATTTATAAATATTTTCATAACGAGTGTCTGCGCGAAAATTTTAGATGGCTTTGTTTCTGGTAAAATTTAAGTTGGTTTTTTGAATTCTATGGGAAATAAAACTGCTTAAAATAACGGAATTCTATATACTTTTTATCGCGCTATCCCTCCCACTTAGCCCAAAACTATAGTTTTGTCAAAATTTTCAATGGCACCTTGTTTATATTATGAGGGATTATGAAGTAGCACACTTTTTTAAGTATATCCACATCAATAAAAGTTACACATGTTACTTTTTTAAATATTTTAATTTAAAATTCTGAATGAATATCATCATTGCAAAAACTTACGCTACCATGTATAAACATCTGATATGTCCAACACATGACGTTTCTATCCAGTTATTATAGGCTTTTTCGGTTATTTTGTACAACCTATTGTAGCAACTCTGTAAAAATTAAGAGGATAAACTAAATAAATAGATTTTCTACATACTTCTAACTCGAAACATTTTTTTTATTCTAACCCGAAACATTTTTTTATATACAGAGTGGCTCAAAAGTCTGGAAACGGCCAATTATCTCGTAAATTGTTAGTTCTAATTGTACAAAATTTGGGGTACGCCTATTTTTGGATACTGAGATTCCAGATTTGATATTTGCAATGTTGCCAGATTTTCCGTTTCTCTTATATTATTAGTCACTTTGGTTTTTCAAATTTATCACCCTGTATATTCAGTCATCCTTGGAATCTCCTATTCAATACGAGTTCAACCATTTGTAACATGATTTTATGTAGTCTGAAAGGTCTTAAATAAATAAAGCAGAAGTCTGGCAACGCCTAATTGTCTCAATAAATGTTTTATTACAAACTATTTTCAATTCATTTAAACGTAACAATTGAAATATTGCAACATTTTTAACATAATAGTTACTTTATCAAGTGTTCAAAATGTGCTCCATTTGTGATTTGACAATACCCTAATCGATAGTAGAATGCGTCTATTACATTTCTCTATGTTTGTTTTATTTATTTAAGACCTTCTAGACTACATAAAATCATGTTACGTATGGTTGAACTCGTATTGAATAGGAGATTCCCAAAATGACTGAATATACATGGTGATTAATTTGAAAACCCAAAGTGACTAGTAATATAAGAGAAACGGAAAATCTGGCAACATTGCAAATGTCAAATCTGGAATCTCCGTATCTCAAAATAGGTATACCCCAAATTTTGTACAATTAGGACTAGCAATTTACGAGATAATTGGCCGTTTCCAGACTTTTGGGCCACTCCGTATATTCATTGCCAACGAAAATACTGAAAAATTAAAAGCTTACACTATTCCTTCAATTTTTCCATTACAGTCCATTTTAGAGAAATCATGTATAAAACAAAAATTATAGAGATTGATATCGCAAACAATTTTTAGTTTAACAATTTTCTTAAGAATCAGAATTTCTCGATTACGGACCATTTAAGGAAAATTTTGTATGGGGCAAAAATTATAGAGAATAATAGAAGTAATTTTAATTTCACGAATATTCTTTTCAAAACGTAAATAACAGATTTATTCCATAAAATATAAAAACAACCCCTATATAGTTCCCCCCACAGATGTTCTAACTCTGCCAAAAATCTAATCAGTGCACCGCAGATCAAAACAAAGGTTTAAAATTTGGTGTTTTTCTCTTTATCCATTTTTGAGTTTTCTCCATTTGAAATTAAAAAAAAAAATTCTTAAATATCTCGAATACGTGCACGCACGAGCGCACGCACGCACCCACATACACACACACACACACACACACACAAAGGACGTAGCAAGGTTGTTTTCGTGTTATCACCCGTGTTATCTTAGAATATGGCACCAATGCAACGACTATAGTTCATAATATGGAAATTTACATAAAAAAGAGTTAGTTTTATAATGAAGTTTTTCATTTTTTATATATTTATACAGGGTGTTTCAGAATAAAGTACTGTAATCAATTATAAAGAAAAGCAAAATATAACTTTCCTATAAACATCCCAGTTTTTATTCTACAGGGTGATAAATTGAATTTCATGAATACATATTTTCTAAAAATATCTTCCCTTACAGTAAAGACTTTAACTTATAAATACGTATATGATAGATAATCGTTATTATTAGTTAACACACTCTATTTCGATAAATTACCGTAACCCATTGGCTTAAAATAAAGGGCTAATAAACTTTTTGAACACCCTATATTTCATAAAACTTAAGATTAATAAATATTTCTCAGGCTATTTGTCACAAAAAAGGGGCTTCTGATTGTTCTTTGTAGACTATTCCATTTTCGAGATGATAAAACTGATTTATTTTATACAGAGTGTTTTGAAACATGTCTTAAATATGGCCAATTTTAAGTTCAATTTACCCAATTTTGTCAAATGCAACACACTTTATATTATTTTCGCATAACATTCCTTATAAATTTACCTATCCAACGATACCAACATGTCCCAATAGCTGTTTTATTATTGGAAATAAAAAACAAATTAATATAAAAGTTGTATGACCATGTTTAATAAATATTCTTAAATATACAGGATGGTCCATAAACGAAGGGCTGACCAAACTTATACATTTTTATATTTAATTATTTTCACATCGTCAAACAACTTTAATAGACTTCATTTATTTGCTATGTTGTATAGAGTGTTTCAAAATGAGAGATAACGATTTTCTCATTTTTTTTAAATGGAATACCCTATATGTCATACCACCAATTAATTAATACAGGGTATTCCATTTAAAAAAATTGAGAACATCGTAATCTCACGTTTTGACACACCCTTTATACAACATAGCAAATGAATGAAGCCAATTAAAATTGTTTGACGATGTAGAAACAATCAAATATGTATTACTACCTGCAGGGTGTTTTGCTTTAAAAAAGTATAGATTTGGTCCGCACCTCGTTTATGGACCACCCTGTATATTTAAGAATATTTGTTATATATGATCATACAACTTTTATATTAAACATTTCTTCGTATATCTAATAATAAAAGAGCTATCGATCAATTATGCCCTGATGGGACAGCCTGTATATGTGTTAATGACACATTGGTATTGTTACAAAGGCAAATTTATAGGGAATTTTTGCCAAGATAATATACAGTGTGTTGCGTTTGAAAACATTTAGTAAATTGAACTTAAAATTAGCCATATTTAAGACATGTTTCAAAACACTCTATATAGAATGAACCAGTTATATCATCTATATTCGTTAGCTTAGTATTTTAAATTAAAAACAAACAATTTTGAAAAAAATGTAAACCTACCTAAATTTTGATAATTAAATTTGGAGTCTGCATCATTCGCTAATTTTAAAAAAAAAATTGTTTGGCAACACTAATATTTTTTAAAAACATTCTAGGGTTAAATACAGTATTCCCAAGCCATTCTAAAAGTAAAATAAAATATAGGGTGTTCTATTTAAAAAACATACATTATTATTTGTTAGGCAAAAACGCAACACTGTATATCCAAAAATATTTTTAAAATATGTATTTTTCAAATCCTTATAACTTTTATTAAAACTTGTTTGCTTGTCAATAATACCAATTAAAATATTGAGCAATTACGCGATATATAAATTTTAATTTTCAATTTACAGGAATATTATTATTTTAGATGACAGTGTTTAAGAAACTAATTGTTTTATTGTATTTATTTTCTCTCTGAAGTAGGGCTGGATAGATACCAGCAGGTACTTGCAATTTAAATGGAAGAAGCTGGATATTACCCATCGTCTACAATCTGTTTGCCAATCATAGACAGGTGGGTTGTATTCT